AGAAGGCACAAAACAGTCAAATAAACTATTGGGATCATCAATAATCTCGAATTTGAAGCTCAAGAGTGCATAAGAAAGAGGATCTCGAAATTGTTTGTACGAATTCAAAACTAACTTCTTGTTATTATTTTGCTGTTATTACTTAATCACAGCGACGGCCGCCGGTGCTGCTCCAGGTATACATAGATCTAATTACCCTTGACTGGTTATATAGCAGAATCGAGTCCAACCTATTAGCGGTCGTTGGCAGTTGTAGACGAATTAAACATAAACAAACCTTTATTAGCTCTTTATCTTGGTCTTTGTTACCGCTTGGGCGTCGAGAAACTGGAGCTTTGGGGTATTGAGTTAGCCAAGGCAACCTAATTTACAGTGGTGGTGGTGGTGGGAGGTGGTGGATGCCGGTGCCGACTGGAAGATAGAGATGGTGGGTGGTTGGTTTGATTGTGCTGCCGACAGGAAGAGAGAGATGGAAGGTGAAGTTGGGGTTTTTTTGTTATTTTTGTTTTTAGTTTAATTGTTATTAATATTTGGGAATATATTAATTATAAAATTACCATTTTGCCCTTTTTATTTTAATTAAAATTGAATCAATTTTGACTTTTTTGGTTGACTAACGGTCAAACGGACGGAAACCGTCCATTTGGACCTCTACTGCATATTTTTGAAAGGTTTGGAACTGTGACTGGCACAAATCAAAGGTTAGGGTAAAATGCGTAAAAATCTGAAAGGTTTGAGACCGCAGCTGCAATTATCCCTTTAACATATGCGATTTGGGAGTGTAACCATACATTCTTATTAATCAAAAACTACTAATCCCAATATCAATGGCCATTTTGAATCTTTTTGTAATGATTACCGATAAAGACTTATTTCTACAATGTATATTGACAAGAAGTATGTTTGGTGCAGAGATTACCTTAGGCACGTTGTTTTATTTTTTATCATAATTTGGCTTTTTACTCAAAAACTAATAATAAAAGCATTCCTGACAAATTATTACTCAATTTCTTTGCTTTTCTTTTTTTTTTTTTTTCTCAACAAGAGAANTTTCTCAAGAAAAAAACAATCTTGACACTAAAAATTTTGTTTTCTTATAATCCAAATTCTTTGAACAATTGGTAACATTGTTGAGATCGTTGGATGCGATATGTATAAACGCGTGATTTCCATTCCATTGTAGCCCTAATAAAATTCATTTTGAAAAATCCTCAATTCCATGAACACTGTGAAGTTTCAGTTGACTGTGAGAAATCTAGCTGAATTTGCCGATTAACGATCGAAATTTTTTAGGAAAAGAAGAAAATGTCGTTTTCATTTTTCAAGCCTTCTCGGCCTAAAACCCCTCAGGAGCTGGCGAAGGCGATCAAAGATAGTCTCATGGCACTCGACACCAAAACCGTTGCGGAAGTTAAAGCCCTCGAAAAGGTCTCTTCTTTGACATTCTTTATTTTTTGTGAATCGGAAATGACTTTTATTTATTTAAATTGTTCCAAATTTTCTTTATTGAAAATGTAGCTTCAGGAACGTTAATTTAGGTGTTTTTGTGGACGTGGCGATGATTGAATTATTTGCGTAGTTGGTTTAAAATTTGTATTTATTAAATGCCTTTGCTGATACACATTGATGAAGAAGATACAAAGGAATAATTATTGTGGGATAACTATGAATCACTGCAGTATTATGACTATGAATATATCATTTTCTAAAACCTTCTGCCTTTCGGTTCACTTATTTGAATGAAAATGGAAGTATTTAACTTTTTAATACGTTGGCAGACAGTACATTATTGGTTTCTCGAAAGTACATAACCTGCAAATCTTTTGATGTGTTGAGCAGCTTGTGTTAATATTCGTGGTGTGATTATCTGGGGTGGGGAAGGAGATCTATACGAACAAACCAGCTAGTGTAGCAGTGATTGCCATTTATTTTAAAGGGGGACCCGACTTTCCCCTTTGTTACTATCTCACCCCTCATGTCTTCACCGCATTAAATTGCTATTACGCTGGGCTTGATGATGGATTAATTTTTTTTATACTACACCACCAAATTTGATCAATTCGTCCACATTTCAACAATTCAATGGTGCAATTTAATTCCATGGAAATTTGAATGATAGTTGATAGGCCTTCACTTATATTCATAGGTACAATGCTTCCAGACAAAAGTTCTTAAAATGCTTGAAAAGAATTGACTAAAGGCTACTTCCATCTTGTTCAATACTATTAACAGATTATGTATAATATTATCTGAGGCAGTCCAAGGGGACTTCCGGTCAAATTAAATCAATTTGAAGTTTTAAACTATGTTGGTTTTCCTAATAACCTTTAGTTATTAATATGCTTTTGAGTTGCTTCCATCTCTGAGCTGGTTCATTTTTCATATGTATGGTTGTATGATTAAAGGAGCAAAAAAGCCACAGGGTAGGGGAGAACTGTGGTTTGAACTTTCCTTAGATGGCAAAGCCTCGCGGAAAATACGGCAAAAAATTAGCATCTAACCAAGTTGCTTATTTTGCTTCTTTTGTTATTTTTCAATAATCTACTTTTAGACAAAAGGAACCTCTCAAATATCTTGGATCTCACCAACTCTTTGATATTGCTCGTCAATATTGACATCTCTGCTTGTTGCTAATCGCTCTTGCCTAATTCAAACAGGCACGAAGTAGTAATCTCTTTAGGACAAACATGCCAGATTGTTTTTAATAGTAAATATGGATGTTGCATACTTTGAGTTCATTTGTAGAATATAAGGTTGTTGTCCAGATAGTCCAGTATTAGAACAATGTCAAATCTATGCGTGACTTTTGATTGGCAATCACAAGGGAATTAAGGACCCGTTTGTAATGACTTTTGCTTTTGGATGAAGTTACCTTAATTTTTGTTTGGAAACTAATTTTTTAAAAGAACTTCATATTCCAGAAGTGCTTTTAGAGGAAGTCACGTTGAACCAACTTCCTCTAAAAGTTCTTCTAACTACCAAAAGCACTTTCATAAAATTAGCCAAATGGATTTAGAAGCAACTTTTGAATCTCAAAAGCTCATTTTGACTTTTCAAAAGTTATGCCAAACTGGCCTAAGTCTCATTTGTAACTTCAAGATCTTTATTTATTATAAAATATTTAAATTGATATCTGAGCTTGAAGAGGGAATAAGACTAGACTTATGTCTTGTTCTCCCGGATGAAGGTACGGACTTCAGATTTCCCTTTAGGTTGGTAGTTAGACTTGACCCAGGAAGAATGTTGGGACAGCGGGTAACTTAATTCTTGATTACTGAGCAAAAGACATAATTTAAATAGCGAATTGGGAAAAGAAGTGTGTTATGGATCAAAAGCTAGTTATTATTTGCTTATCAAGATCCGGACAAATGTATAATAATGCTTGGAATTGCATATGATTTGTCTCTCTACTGTTTATATGTGGATATATCATGGGTATTCACATTTGTCTTTTTTCTTTATAGGCTTTGGAAGAAGTTGACAAGAACATAATGGCAATGAGAACTATGCTCTCAGGAGATGGTGAAGTTGAACCAAACATGGATCAAGTTGCACAACTCACACTTGAAATCTGTAATGAAGATGTTATATCTCTGTTTATTCACAAGTTACCTATTTTGGGATGGGAAGTAAGTATATAAAATGACTTGTGCATTAAATAAAGCAAAAGTTGTCAAATATATGATTATGAGTGGAATAAGCTTATATTCTTGACAAATAATGGTTAATCTGTGCATAGGCCAGGAAAAATTTGGTCCACTCTTGGTCAACATTGTTGAAGCAAAAGGTTGATTCTGTATGTTGCTGTGTACTATACATGGAGAACCATTTAGAGTTACTGGACTTCCTCGTAGTCTGGTAAGAGTTACTAAATCTTTCTCTGCAGTTCAATTACTTTTGTCTTTTCATACATGCTGAGGGCTTTTATGATTAGATTTTCATATTTTGATAGGAGAATTCCACCTCAAACTAAAGAAAAAATGTAAAAGGAAAAGACCAGTCATATTTTTGGCATAGACTAAATTAGAAGGCAACATGCAGTTTAGCTACCACTACTAAATAAAAATTTTCTATTGTTGCTTTTACACTCTAATTCGAACTCTTCAAGATGAAGGAAAGAAATGAAATTCTTAAAAAGAAATATTTTTTACTTTCCTCTCTTTCTCCTTCAATATTTTGCTTTAACTCCAACAGAAAATACCTTATGCTGTCCCATACCGTGTCATTCTAAAGACATGAAACTGTCATTCCGAAGACCTTTTGCTTCAACTATTTTTCAATTTTACCTCGTAGAATTCAAACTCGTCGCTGTTGTACTGAAATTATCAAATTTTGTGAAGTTGTCAATAAGAGTTTTCTTAACGATGAACTACAATCAACATGTGTACCTCTTCTTATTGTTATCTTTGTTTCACTTAGGGGTGTGTGATAAAAGAAATCATCTTTGTTTTCAAGGTTTTTATAAGACTCTCTGTTTGTAATATCCACTCAGCCTGTTCTCTTTCAATCAGTGTTGCACTTTTCACTTTCCTACTTATTTCTTGTCTATGGTTCTTGTAGATTATGGGTATCCTGTCTGAATGAACCAACTATTGTTAATGTTTTGCAAGCAGCTATGATAACAAGGAAATTGCTCTGAATTGTGGAAATGTGCTGAGGGAATGCATCAAATTTCCTACTCTTGCAAAGTAAGAGATGCATGCTTTTAACTTGTATATCTTTTTATTTTTGTATAGAAGCTTCGTTGTCACTCTTAGATGAAAATGGGCGTAAAAAGTAAGCATATATAAGGCCTCTATTCACAATTCTGCTGTACGCGATCACAATTTCCCATAATTTTATTTCAGATACATATTGGAGTCTCCAAGTTTTGAGTTGTTTTTCAAATTTGTGGAGCTGCCAAATTTTGATGTTGCTTCTGATGCATTTTCTACATTTAAGGTCAGATATCTGCCTTACATAGTTTTGGTTTGTATGTATCTAAGTGTTTAAAAACCCTTTGTGCTATTCTTTGTGACATATACAAGGAGCATGTCACAGGATCTGCTCACTAAACATCCACCTGCAGTTTCTGAATTCCTGACTACTCACTACAATGAGGTTTGCTCGTTTTCAGTATAAACTGAAAGTATTTTTTGACTTATTTGTATTTAGAGTTCTTTTCGCCAGAAGTCTCCTTCTACAATTGAATGCTCCCGATTCACTTTTTAACCATCTCCTCACAATATAGTTTTAAAGTTTTGTGTCTAAATTTAAATAAATTGATGAGAAAGTAAACGAAAATTTTTTGTTTGGCTACAAAAGTTTAATGGGAGAACTCTACTGTGGAAGGAGGGATTAATTTCACTTCAATTCATGCCACTTCACCAAGTGTTGTACACTCATGTTTCTCATTGTCTCGTTTCTAGTTCTTTGAGCAGTATGAAAAACTCTTGACCTCTGCCAACTATGTGACAAGAAGGCAGTCCTTGAAGGTTAGTTATGAGATATGGAAATGCATTTTGTGCTGCATGTGATCATTACTTGACAATATAGCTCTATTGACAATATAACATGGATGGACTTTAGCTTCTCTCTGAATTTCTTTTGGAGCCTCCAAGTTCCCATATAATGAAGCGCTATATTGCGGAAGTTCACCACTTGAAAGTCATGATGACATTGCTGAAGGTACTAAATGCTCTCTTCCTGATCTCAGACACTTGTGGGATTATATGATGACACGATCAATGTGGAATCTTATGAAAGTTTAGGTTAAATTATTTATATTCATTAATGTGCTTACGAATTGGAAGAAATGATAGATTGCAACAGAGGGGAAAACGCTTTCAAGGTAACCTGGATTTCTTCCAGAGGTATTCCTCATCTTTCTCTTATACAACTCCCTGTGTACAGGATTCAAGCAAAAACATTCAAATATCTGCCTTCCATATTTTCAAGGTAATCAACTTTCCTCTATACTTGTTTATAGTTGCTTAGATGCTTATGCATGTCCGGTGGTGAAATATGATGAACAGAGGCAGGGGTTCAGGGTTGATGGGTAGCAGCACTTCATTTGATTTGTTAGTTAAACCACAGAAAGACTGTTCTTCAAAGATATGACTGTTAAAATCTAATCTGAAGCGCATATAAATGAAGGGAAGTAAAATTTTGTCGCTTTAGTTTCAAATAAACAAATTCAGTCTCTCATACTTTTTGATCATTTCCTGATCAGTAATTTGACGAAAGACATGACTAATATGAGTCCAGGAATTTGGCATGGCCACTGAACAAGTTTCTTAAACTTTTTTCTGTTCTTTTTATTTTACTTTTTATCACGCACGGGTTTATGGAATGCAAATCATTTTATCCGTCTTCTTTAAAGACTAATTGATTTGCCACTACTTCGTATTTCGAGTACTTTATTTAGATGATAATATGAATTTGTGGATTTCAGGAAATGTAATAATCATGGAGGTCTAAAATCAACTTATCAAGAATGCTATAATCATTCAGTTGTTTCATTCAATAATTTATCCTTAAATTTGATTTTGGCATTTCGTTTACAGGTTTTTGTGGCTAATCCTAGCAAACCTCGAGAGATAAAAATCATATTGACAAAGAACCGTGAAAAGCTGTTGTCGCTGCTTCACGATCTCTCTCCAGGCAGAGGTATATGTATCTCGGTGCAACAATTCACCTGTTAAATGATAGAGTTATCCATGATTTTATTTTTACTTCGAGATTGGCTCTCCCTTTTCGAGTTATCTACTTTGTGTGCCTGCTAATTCTATTAGGTATTGCAGGTGGTGAAGATGATCAATTTGAAGAGGAAAAGGAAATGATAATCAAGGAAATAGAAAGAGTATCTCGACTGCCAAATCTCAACTAAGTACATTTTACTTGCTGGATTTATCATGTCTTGCCGAGCCATTTACTCATAGCCTTCACCTTCTTTATCTTTTGTCTTTTTTTTTTCTTTTCAGCTTCGTTAGGTGGTAGTGTATAATAAGCAACTGAAATCGACTATTCTTTTTTGGTTTTGGTTCGAGGCATATGATAGTATTAATTTACACTTCATTTATATTGCAAAATCACATAATGCATCGTATAACCAACGACAATAGACCAACATTTCACACTGTTTTCAAGCATTGGCACGTATACAAATTGATGAAATGCCATGAACACAACCTGATTAATTTGCTCGTGCTCAAATCGTCCATTGACACTCGTTATCTAGATCTTATCTTCAAATGGCCAGACGACGTAGAAGAACCCAACCTTATAGTTATTAGTTATAGGTGTCATTTAGGTGATGCAGAAGGGCATTCATAAAGGTGTTTAAAGGAATGGCAATGTCCTTGGCGACTGGATTCAATATCATTTTCATTTATTTTGCAGTGAAAGATGAAACAAACATTATATATCTGGAAAATTAAATTCACACGCTGACAGAGAAATGATTACATGCATACTAATGATTCAAGTTTATAGGACCATTAGTAAATCTATAGGTAGCAACATCAGCACAGGCGCGGACACATGTACAATTTGCATTTAGGTCACTTTTGTACTTACTAAACGATAAAGCAACATTATAAGACCATCTAGGACGAACCAGCGGTCAGGTGGTAACACATTATCTTAGTTGTTTCCATATCTCATCATCCGCAGAATGGTTAGAAACAGGTTGAGAACATCCAGATAAAGAGTGACAGACGCCCAGATATACTCGTCATATGTGAAGCGCTTGATCAGATTGTCAGTGTCATACACAATGTAACCAGAGAAAATTATAGCACCGATTGCACTATAGATGGCAACAGAGGTAGATCCAAGTGGGAAGAACATCTGCATAACCAAAAATTAAAAAAGGTTTATCAGATTATGTAATGGTGAATGTAGCCGTGTTCCTAGATGCAAAAATCCGAGAGAGAGAGAGAGAGAGAGATACCTGGATAAAACCAGTAAAAACCAATACAATTAGGCTAGTGAATAAGATTGGTCCAAGATAACTGAAGTCCTTGCCCTTCTTAGAAGCCCAGAAAGTGTACCCAGTCAGAGCCGCAACTACGGCTGATGTCAAGATTAAGGCTTCGAGCACAATTCTTCCTGTGAATTGAAATACAATTGTATGTAAGGGGAGAAACATGTAATGGATGGCACAAGATTATATCGAAATTCCTAAAAAACCTACTAACCTTCAGTATTGGCACAGGTCACGCCAACAGTGAGACTCAGAGAAGCAGTAAAGAGCCCAAGGAATACGAAGTTCAGAGGGTGCTTTTGTTGATAAATGTGCAAGGGCCACAACACTGTACACGATTTAGGTTCATTAATAAGATTTAATAATGCATATGTAGGGCATAAAAATAAAAGATCACACAAATGATAAATCCAAATTCCCCACCCCAGTGAGAACTCCTATAGGAACCCAAGCACAGAAGAAACAAAAATTTGATAAGAGCACATTGTGCGAAATCTATATTCACAGCATAACAACCAAGAATGGTGTAACCATACCCAAAATCTCCGGTAATCAACACTCGCACAGAAATTATGCAAAGCATCACACAGGAAAGGCTGTAGCATGCGCATTATGATGTTTTTATGTATCAAGCATCACATACACACATGAAAACTCCACAATTGGATTTAGGAATTAGGATACATGTGAATGGAGCACCAGTGGTTGAATTTCACGCCTAAATCCCAAAGAAGAAGAAGAAGAAGATGTTTCCTAACAAGATCAAAAATTGCGAACAAAGATAAACCCTTTCTTCCGTTACCCCCGAAACGATCTCATTTCACAGTCAAAATGCTTATAAAAACGATCTATTTCACATAAAATCAGCAGTTGACATTTTGTCTGGTCAAACATCTATAAAAACTACAAATGTAATGACAAATTCAGAAAAAAATGCATCCAGAAAGAGCGTTTTAAGATGGGATGGACGGATGGACGAAATGACAGTATATAATGACAACAATCAAATTTAAACTACAGGGGCACACATCAATATATTCAAGTGCAAGAATCAAGATTTCAAACATCATAGATATATATATGTGTGTGTGTGTGTGTGTGTGTACACCGCGATAGATATAGGTGCACTGATGGGATCACAAATTGTAAATTATATTTTATGAATCGACAGCCATGAAAACAAAATCACATGTTAACATAAATACACAGAATTATATGTATTTTATTCATATGCTTTCATATCTTGTGGGTAAAATGAAGAACAGGATCCTGGAATTGCCCCCAAAAAGATGTCTATTTTCCTGTCCTCACCAGTATACAAGTGTATGATATGTATGTATGTGCAGCGATGTAATATCAAGAATTGCACAAAAAAACTTGAGAATAAATAATATGCTTACAAATGAAGGGGGTGAAGAGGAGGAAGAGCAAAATCCAAGAATTTCCACGGAGCAGATCATTGATGGGAGCGTAAAGAACAGTCACGGCGGAGACAACAGTAGTAAGGAGGATCTGGGCAGCCAAAATACCTGTTCAACACAGATATACATGAATAATCACCTCTAATTGTTAAACTTTTAGACTAGATGGTTAACAATACCGTAGACTTTGCGGATGAAACCCCATCGGAGCTGATTCTCGCCGTAGCCGATTCCCGGATACAGCAACCCATCACCGGCCTCAATGTCAATATTATTCTTCATATCGTCGACGCCGGAATAGCTGTTCATCTTGAATGGGATTCTTGATGCTGTAACGAGGGATTCCTCTCTCTCTCTCTGTCTCTCTCTCTGTCTCTCTATGTATATATGCTTGCACGCGGTGGATGACTTCGATATGGTCGTCTGATATTCCGTAGACTCTTTCGAGGGGGAAATTTCACTATTGGTCCTCAAATTTATTATTCAAATAGTGTATTAGTCCCTAAACTCTTAAAATTGTGCAGTTAGTCATGAACAACGGAAATATTTGACAAAATATATAGCCCCTGTTTGGGAGGCATTTGTATCTAATTTTTAAAAGAAATCATTCCGTTGTACAATGCCATGTCAATGAAGAAGAGCCGTAATGCATGACTGAAATGAGTGAAATTATTAATGAACCTCATTTAATTTAATTCATACCTCTTTACAAAAGAGCATTTTTGGCATAAAAGTGTATTTTGTGTTCTCACAAATTGATCTCGCTGACATATCAAACGATCAAAAGATGGTAGAGATGGGGCACAGATAGGCGCATCATTCATCAACTTAATCTTGCATAAAGATATGACGGTTTGAATTTCTCGTTATTAGTCCAACGTAAGAAAAAAGATTAAGGGTCTGTTTGGTATAGATTCTCATTTTCTACAGTAAATCAATTCTCATTTTCAACCACACATTTTTCAATAAAATAATATTTTTCATCATGTCAATACTTTTTTCTTCTTTTTCAACCACACATTTCCCATCATATCACTATTCAAAAATCAATTCTTCCCACAAAAATCACTACCAAACACACTCTAATTTTATAAAGTTGGATATACTCTTACATAAACATGTCTTGGTTTGAATACTTGGGGATCAATCCATGTTAAGGAAAAAAAATATCTCTTTAGAGTTAGAGACCTAGAATCACGTGGAGATTCATCATACTACAAAGGTAAAAAATTGGAGTAGAATAGTATAGTTTTTCCCTAAAAAATCGCACCATTTACGCCTATCATATAGCATCAAGTACAATGTCATCCCATTCTATTTTCATTTAACAGAAAAGCCCCCAACTTGTAAGTTTAGGCGCAACTATAGTCCCCAACAACATATGGGAATATACTATTAGGGATGGGCATCGAGTGATTCGATTATGATATCTTAAAAAATTGAACACGACCTATTCTAATTGAGAATTATGAAAATAGTACCACTAATTCTATGGACAAAAAATGGAACCAAATAATTTATATAAATTCGAATAAATTATTATGTAATTGAGAGGATGCTAAAAAATATTTTTAATAATCGAGTAAAAAATTAGTTCTATGTATAAAATCGAGAACCGGACCATAACCATTCAATTCTTTATTATAAGATCCATAACCAAAACTAGACCGAACTAGTTGGTTCAATCCCATTCTTGTCCAAGTTGGTGGTTTCAAGTAAAGAAACCCACCTATACATGGAATGACATTTCAATGGAGACTATAGGTTGAAAACGAGTAGTGCAGTTTTCTCGTACAATTTTCTTTTACAAAGAAATATCGAACACCTGCTTTCTATTAAAGCAAGATTTATTGACTAATAGGCCAGTGTTCCCAAGATATTTGACACGATATAAAGTAGCATCAAGTTTACAAATATATTCATTTTAACTTTACAAAAATAATAAATTTATGTCACTTTTAGAGCATCTCCAATGCAATTTCTAGATTACTATATAAGTGACGATGCGATTTGAAAAGACTTTGATGTCTAATAAATAAACACTCAAGTTTAGGGGTGGGCAAAACTCAAACCAACCCACCTAAACCGCCCAACGTGATCCAAACCGATCGATTTGGGTCGATTTTTTTGTAATTTTTCAGCTGGATTCGAGTTTTGGGTTAAGAAGCTGGTCGGGTTGGGTCGGTTCATGGGTTGACTCCTGAAAACTGAGTTAACCCAACCCAACCCAACCCAACCCAACCCACTTAGTTTTTTTAAAAAAAAAAATCGTAAGAACCCAGCCCACAAAACACAAAACGCAACCCTAACTTTATTCTTCCAACCAGGTTCCAACTCTCTCTCTCTTTCTCGCTGTCTCTCACCAATCGTCTGTCTCTCTAGCCATTTGATGTCAAGCTTGCTTTTTACCACTTGATGATTTGCAACTGGTTAGCTTCAATGGAGGTGGATTGTTTGCCCACTTCCACCCCTACAAACTCATTCGCCAGCAAATATTGACCGCCCTTCAACCATATGCAAATCCACCCCTTATCCTTGATTCTGCAAATCAATGCTTGTTCCAAACTCAAATTCCTCATCCAATGGGTACGATTATAGCCTATTTTCTGTCCGAAAATCCTTATCCACAGCCCGAAAATTCCTTACATTGGTTAACAAGTATCTACGAGGGTCGAGAAATTTGACAATAACAGCTGTGAGGGCTCTAGAAGATTTCAAATTTCTGGCTAAACTTAATATTGATTTTATAATTTGTTCTTTCGTTCCTGTCAATGGAATTTCATTGAAAACTCTTCTGGTTTTCTAGGCTGACGATGTTCCGACACTTCTTAGCGGCACTTTAACAAACAATACCGATCAAAGTAATTTGCCACTCATATTTGTGTTCTATTTTGTGGCTATGATTTTATCTTTTATCAAACATTAAGGAATTTGTCCAAATGCACACATTTAATTGGTCAAAACAATGTTATTTATTACTGACTTAAAATAAAAGAATAAATCTTAGCCCACTAGCTTGGATTATGGAAAGGAAAATGTGGTTTGTCATTTTGTAAATGATGTGATTTGCTCCTGGCCCTATTTTTCAGCCAGCATATGAATGGTGGTAATTAAATTATGTGAAATTGCTAGTTAAAAGGAATTGATTATTCTGGTTCAATTATATTCTATTTCTAACAGTATGAATAATTTGTTTAGAGTTCAATTCACTTGAAGTTACTTTAATCCTTGGCACTTCAATGGATATACGCTGGTTCTACAAATGTTTCTTGATTGTCCCAACCCGACCAACCCAACCCAACCCTACCGACGTTTAGTTGGGTTGTGTTGTGTTGTGTTGGGTTCCAATCTTTATATGGATTGGGTTGAGTTGAATTTCAATCAAACCGACCATGTTGGGTGGGTTTGGGTTTGGGCAAAAACCGACCCAACCCAATTCACGCCCACCCGTACTCAAGTCTAATAAACAGGCAATTGAGTTAAATTGCCATATAGATGTCATTTAATTTTTTGAAAATGAAAACAAAACCACATAAAAATTTGGATACAAATTCCAACATAGCTTATGGATTTTAGACAGAAGTCTAGGCATTTTCCTTTTTCTTTGACTAAGTCCCTGTCTGCTTGCATTTTCTATTTTTTTAAATACCGTCTATTTTTATTTTTGTGGCATAATTTTAAGCTATCCATAATTACATTAAAAATGTTTTTGTGCTCTTAATTTCTCAAGGATTGTTATATTACCACCATAATCAGTATTTAATGTACAACATTTTTCTTATTTACTTAAATAGCTACGAGTAAAATGACATAAATATTCTATCAATTATTCACTCATTTATTCATTCCATCACTATTATGGTACACAACAAAAATATATTATATTTATTTTAGGTGAAGAAGCAAACAAAATAGACGAATAAGAAATCAAAACAAAATAGAAAAGAATGAGATTCCAAGAAAAAGTTGCAAATCAACATGAAGAATTTTGATGTTCATCAAGTTAAGATTTGATGCAAACCACGAAGATTCTTTCTTTCTTGATCTAGGATTTTTTGAATTCTCCGCCAATTGTGGGTTGAAATAAAACGTTGAAGGAATAATTGATAAGTAAAAAATCCAGGAAAAATTACATAGAAGGATCACGGAAGAAGGTTCGGATTTGTAATCCCATCTTTTCGCTTCCGATCATGGTTTGCCCCAAAGCTACCAACAATCCAGTTGCGCGACTTTAATCCCACAACAACCCTTAGCTCATCGCACACAAGATCGAAGGAACAAATGACGAACCAAATGCATTTAGATGATCATAGGCCATTTGCTCCGACACCTATTATAAAGGTAGGAGGGTCTCCACATGATCTTTTCAAAATGGGCAAAAATCTATTGACGTCATTGTACTTAACCATAGACATGTCCCTAGTTAAAATAATTCAAGAGATAGTCTGACGTTCTTAAGACAGCGAACCACTTTCAACTATCACGCAACATCTACAAAAGATACAAAATCAAGATATATTACATATTGTGATAGAATGGGTAACTCGTCAATAAGAGTCTAAATCAACTAGTATAATGGTCTTTTAAGGTCATGAAATACCCCAAACTCAAATTCCATATAATTATAAGTGCACAAGTAAAACGCAAGTAATATCACCCCTGGTGCGAAAAGCTTGCATTATGCGATATCTTCATATGCATGTATGCAAGGCATAAGTGGACGAAAAGGTTTCACAAATTTATTAACAATTGGGTCATACATAATTGGAAGTCAACAAATTCAAATAATTTGAAAGGATTTGGAATTGAAAATATAAATAACCGACACAAGATGGTAAATATTTCTAAAAAAACGCTGATATTAAGCGTGTTATCAAATTAGCATGAACAATAAGTAGATAGTAATTGGAGTCGGCGACTATCCCAAAATGTTCTTGATGGGGAAGTTGACCTTAGGAGAGTAACATGTATGAGAATGACTTAAAGTACCTCAATGCGTCGTGTAATTAGAAGTACGGAGTCGATTAGACCCCTTATTACCTCATTAAATTGAAAATAATGAAGTATAAAATTGTACTTCAGCTTCATTTTATTAAATACTTACAAGTTTAAATTAAGTTACGAACTCATTAAATTAAAACCGTTCTTAAATTCAACATATTTTATCTTCATCACTCAACTATGTCGATAATTTACTTGTAGAGAAAATTAACTGCTCACATTTAGGGTTAATTCATTTGTATATAATGAATTACTCTCTCTCACGTAATACGTGGGGCCCGTATGTATTTAAAATTTTTGACAATGTGGTCTTTATTTCCATTGTGAATAGTAGGTAAAAAATTCGGTAAAAAAATTCGATATATAGTATGATGCTCAAATTTATATGTATCTAACTAATGAACTTAATCGATATAAAGGCAACCGTCAACATCTGAAGTGACCTCATGGACTCCACCTTAAACAATTAAGCCACCTACGGACGGACCCCATAACACCACCGTATAAAAACTGTGTCCACAATTACTCTAACTTTCTCTCTCTTTCTAACCCATCGATAAAAAGCGCACCGTACTGAAATTCCACCTCAGCTCCACCCGCCCGAAGTACTTGGAAAATCGACAGCCTCTTCAGCCACGACTGCAATGAATCAGCAAATTTAAAGAAAAAGGAAAACCAGATTTTCATTTCTGATCCATTTTAAAAATGGAAATGATCAGATTTTTTTCAGTTTAAAGTGTAATTTATTTGAGTGGACCGCGTGAATCAGTCGATTTTACGTCAAAATGTATGAAATTTCTCTGCGACCCACCTGAATTTAGAATAATTCTAGGTCAGAATAACTCTCAATTGGATTTTCAGCTACAGCGATATGCAAAAGGTAAAACCCTAATTGGTTTTTCGTAATTTTTTTAATCCATCCGTTTTCTTATTTTTATGGTTCATTTTTATTTTTGTTGAGTATGTATTTTTTCTGGGTTTTACGTTGAACTTGATTTTGTGTCGAATGGATGATAATTTTTGTGGGAGCTGACAAATTGGGTTTGCTCTTGTGTTTGATTGGAGACTTAAAATCTAGGATTTCATTTAACTCATTTTACATTGTGAAAAATCCACACCTTTTGCTCGATTTTTAAATTTTTTTTGGCTGGCACACACATGTAGTTTTTCCGATATAATTTGTGGATCTACTCATTTATTAATTTTGAGTTTCCTTCTCTTCCTTTATAATTCAAAGATTTGTTTTTGTTGCCTTTTTGTATTGATGGGTGTAGCGACAACGAGCAAGGTAAATACCAACTTTGTCGTCAGGGGTGCAACTAATATATGCATGGATTAGTTGATAAAGTACACTATATAAATGAAAGGATTTACTTGGAGGGAAAAGGAGATTTGTTTTAATGGTTGCCTTAAGGCATGGAAAGCTTCTGTTTAGTATTTTAAGTTGCGGGATGAACTGGACAGGGTTCCAAGTTACCGTTTTTCTTAGGTGTTTTGTGAGCTGCTTTATTTGGGTTGCTATTTGATTGCTAACAAATGACACATTTGATGCACCTATAAAAAATAATATATAGGAGTGTAGAAACTCCCAACTTATAAAATTAGCAAGTGTAGTGATATGTAGACTTGTTTATACCGACACATCACCTTGCACAATTTATTGCCAATTCAAACAGCGAGTTAACAGATTGGCTATGTTTATGAATCAAATGGTTAAGGATGCAACTGAAAAAGGGGTAAAATGTAATTTATCAAGGTTAAAGTTGTAAAATGTATTTAATTCTTGCAAATTAAGTTGAAACTTTGTTTTTGATATCCAACAAACAAGTTAATGCACTTAAAATCTTAGCTTAGCTGGTCGAGAGTCAAGGTTTGATAACTTAATTTTTCTCTGCATACTATGTCTGTCAATCGTGATGTCCAAATGAGCTAGATATGTTTATAAAAAAGTGCTGAAGCGAAGCTAATGTGTGTGTTGAATTGTTGACACTTGTGTTCCTATTAGGTAGTGTGTCTGTGTTGCACAGACACTTAAAGTAGGGTGGCTTATCCATGTCCGTGTCCAACACATGTCGGATACCGATACTCTATAAACACTCTACCATGGTCATTTTTCTTTCTTTATCTGAAATGTTTTATATTTTTAACTCAAAGTTATTATTAAATAACAAATAGGTACTCATATTTAAAAGATTTTTAAAATAAAATTAATAACAAATATTAAACTAAACTTATACTTTATAGATGAAGAATTTTAAAGAATTTAATTAACGTATCGTATCAATACTTTTTTGAAAAATCGAATGTTGATGTGTCCATGTCGGTGCATCATAGTAGTGTATAACAGACTCCTAGATTAATTTGAGTAAGATTAACGTCAAAAGTTGCTTGTAAATCAAATTAAAAACTATGATTTATTTTCTCTTAAGATATAATTTTTCTTTGTTCTTTGTTCTTTGTTCCTTTTTACTTTTATTTTTCTTCTCATTTTACACGTGCTAAATAATTCCGTCTGATTCTACACACACAAATGCCATTTTAACCTCTTCAGGAGTCTTTCTTTCATGTTAAGGTTTGAATATTGATATGTACTCTTGTCGAGTTGATGTACAATAATGTAGTTAGTCTCCTGCTTCCTTACATATGTTCAGAACTAGCATTATTGTATGGCACTTACTGAGGATTAAGTGCTGGTTAAATGCACTTCTTATATCAAATTTTATGTCGCTACTATTTATGTGCTTCAGATTTTTTTTAGCTTTAATTTGTACTTCTTTATGAGGTAATGCTGCTGTTTCCATCTTGGCCACAAAATACTATAAAGTGACTAAAGACAGATTAAACCTTATATCAACTATTCTTGGTTGTAGATTGTAAATAACTGGCTTCTTTTTTATTTTTTTATTTTTTTTCCTTGTGTGCTGCAGATACTGACATGAATAGAGAGGAGTTGGGAAATATTATGTCTGTAAGGACGAAACCAGCAGGTCTAGTGATTGGAAAAAGCAATGGCCATTGTGAAGATGAAGGAGAATCCAAGATGGAACCACACGTGGGGTTAGAGTTTGATTCGGCAGAAGAGGCCCAAGAGTTTTACAGTGACTATGCAACCCAAGTGGGGTTCAAAATTAGGATTGGTCAGCTGTATAGATCCAGAGTAGATGGTGACGTTATTTCTAGGAGATTTGTATGTTCAAAGGAGGGATTTCAGACAAACGCAAGAACTGGCTGTCCTGCTTTCATAAGAGTGCAAAAAGTTGATTCTGGGAAGTGGGTTTTGGCCAATATAAAAAAGGAACACAACCATGAACTTGAAGTCCCTGGAGAAATTTGTCCACCCAAGATTCAGAGAAAAAGTTTTCCAACTCCTAGATCATCAGCTGGTGGGGCAAGTAGGACAGGAATCAGATCGCACGAGGAGGATGGTCTATCTGGTGTTGTTGACATTAAACGTCTCAAAAAGGAAGATGGGGGTGGAATTGCTGTACCGAGAGGTGAACCATTCAAGGGTCTCGAATTTAGTTCTGCTGATGAAGCATACAAATTCTACTACACATATGCAGCCATTACTGGATTTAAAGTCAGGATTGGTCAGTTATTCCGCTCCAAAAATGATGGATCAATTACATCCCGAAGATTTGTGTGCTCCAAGGAAGGGCATCAGCACCCTTCAAGAGTAGGTTGTGGAGCATACATGAGAATACAAAGACAAGAATCAGGAAGGTGGGTGGTCGATCGTCTTCAAAAGGAACACAATCATGAATTTGACAGTCCCACTGATCCTAGTAGACGAGTGACGGTTGCATCAAAGGGGTATAGAGAAGAAGGAAGCAGTGGGTTGGAAAATTTGGATTTAGTTGAAACAAATGGAGGCCTCAGCCTTGTCAAGCGAGTTCGAGAAAGTAATATTGATAGTGAGTGGTATAGTATGCTTCTTGAGTATTTTCAATCTCGGCAAGCAGAGGATACAGGATTTTTTTATGCGGTGGAAATGTGTGATGGTAAAGGCATGAATCTTTTCTGGGCTGATGCACGGTCTAGATTTTCCTGCACTCAGTTTGGAGACGCAATTGTGTTTGATACAACATACAGGAGAGGTAAGTATTTTGTGCCTTTTGCTTCTTTTATTGGGGTTAATCATCATAGGCAATCGGTACTTCTTGGCTGTGCTCTAATTGCGGATGAATCGGAAGAGTCATTTACTTGGATATTTCAGGCATGGCTTAGGGCAATGTCGGGGCGCCACCCTGTGTCTATAATAGCTGATCAGGACAAGGCCATTCAAAATTCAATTTCACAAGTTTTTCCGGGGTCACATCATCGATTTTCTGCATGGCAAATTCTGAACAAAGAACAGGAGAACTTGGGTGCATTGCTCTCAATGGATGCCAAGTTCAAATATGAGTATGAAACTTGTATTTTTCAGACCCAGACGGCAACTGAATTTGATTCCGCATGGAATATGCTTATGAACAAATATAACTTGAGAGAGAATGCTTGGTTAAAGGAGATGTACAGAATGCGTAAAAGTTGGGTTCCCCTGCACATAAAGGGCATATTCTTTGCTGGCATTCCTGTGGATGGAAGCTTGAAATCATATTTCAGTCCGCTATTGACAGCCCAAACACCTCTCAACGAATTTGTTGTATGGTATGAGAAAGCTCTTGAACAACGCCGTGAAGAGGAAAGGAAGGAGGATTTGAACTCATTTAATATACAAGCAGTTTTGCATACAAAAGATCCCATAGAAGAACAGTGTAGAAGGCTTTACACCAGCACAATGTTTAAAGTATTTCAGAAAGAGCTTTTAGAATGCTATAGCTACGTTGGAAAAAAAATAAATGTCGAAGGAGCCATTAGTAGATATCTGGTACAGAAGTGTGGAAATGGAGATGAAAGGAATACGGTTGCCTTTAATGCATCCAATCTTAATATCAGTTGTAGTTGTAAAATGTTTGAGTTCGAAGGTGTTCTTTGTAGGCACACTTTGAAGGTATTCCAAATAATGAACATAGGGGAGCTTCCGTCTCGCTATATCTTGCATCGATGGACAAAAAATGCGAAATATGGTATACTCCGAGATGCTCATTCAGCAGGCGATTCTCAAGATTTCAAGCCCCTGATGTTTTGGAGTTTAAGAGAAGAATCCCTTAATTTTATCGAGGCGGGAGCAGCATCTTTGGAAAGATACAAAATTGCCTTCGAGATCATGCAGGAGGGCAGAAGAAGTCTCTGCTGGCAAACCTAGTAAATTTCTAAGCTGCAGGGTCAGAGATATTTTTTTCCTTCTATATTTTATCTTGATTCTCTAGTCTGAACCTTGTAATTCCTTCCTCGGCTAGTTTTAGTGGGTTTTCAGCCATGTAACTAAATAGAACCTCGTTTTCATGAAGAACTTGTTAGAGCTGTACTATGGCTCTGTTTGTAGTTTTACCTGTTTCATATGTCTATCAAGCAGTGCTTGTCACGTTCTTAGTCTTATTGATTTGGCATTCATGTCTCGTTCTTAGAGTAGTCTTATTGATTTGGCATTCATGTACGGGCTTTTTCTAGTGTCTTTTTCTTTCGACATAATAGTAACCGTTCAAAGGAAAGCGGCGAGTTCATCTGATTTTGTTGGTAAGTTTGTATTATTAAGTACACTAAAAAGAGAGCCTTGAAACTGCTGATATTATTTCATAGATCGACCGAGGTCCCTTTTGCCGTGTACTATTTTCCCCAACCAATTTGCCTCAGTAGCAAGTTGTCCGCAGTGAAGCCAGCTAATATCTAACGTTTCATTATAGTTGTAAAATTAGTCCCCAAAGATGGAAATTGTCCAAATATTCATTATATTATCACGCAAACCGTCTTGGAAGCATTTATGACTTTCAAGTTGAGAAGCAAAATCTAGCTTCACAAAACAGACACCCGAGGATCACAAGTCGATTTAACGGTAGTTTGGACCATTTTCGTCATTGAGACTGGTGACTCAACTTATTCATTTTTAAAGGTTGGAGAATAACTTGTTATTAAACCATCGGTTAAGTGATAATTTGCCGTCGAGATCAAGATTTTCTCTGAATCCTTAGATACTACTAGTAAAAAATAGTTTGGGCAATTTCTGTTTTTTCTTCTTTGCGCCCTTTGGTGAAGATCACTTCCTAATATCCTATTGCCTTCATCACCTAGGCAACCACGGATGGATATTTCACGTAACTTCATGTTTGTTTTCATATACTTGTGTTTACCCCCTCTTCTTTTAGCTTATTTTTGGGTAGGGCTGTTTATTGGCATGGGTTTGTCTAGTTGACGATTGGCCAATGCAAGAAGAAAGTAATTGTTCATCATTTTCAATCGTTTTTGGTAGAAGTGAAATAACAATGTAAAAATGACCACGTCATGTATATTTAACTGCAAAGTCTTGAATCATCGAGGCTTGTTGTAAGGCAGTCTAGAGGAATAGTGGAAAGATTATTGAGTCATTTGTTGTGCTCGGTTTGCACAGTCGAGTGAACGATACTCTTCATAATGTATGTCGGATTTGAATGAAGTTAAAGTCTTATTTTACTATGAAGTATGTTCAATACTATGTGCAAAACGTATCTTAACTATATCTTGATCTCCATAACGCATAAATATCATGTAGAATTTATTAAAATACATAAAATTTATACTTGTGCACGGTATACAGAGCATGAAGATATCGGAAAAAAATTAAGATACATTATGAAATCTTAGACCAGACAATTCATCGGCCTATCAACATATTATAGTTTGCTTGGATTGTGTTACCCACCGTGAAGGTAAGCATTCAAGAACTGGTGAGGGAACAAGAAAAGCGAGATATTAACTGATACTATCTGAGATGCAATAAATATTTTTGAGGTCCCAAAAAATTTCGTCCTGTTAATTTTCAAAACAACGGAGGAACAACTGAAATGACAGGGACATGAGGATAGAAAAGGCGATGAACGGGTATCAGATGAGGACTTGAATAGATTACCAAAGTATGAAGCCAGAATAGAAGCAGTACAATTATCAAAATAGATTACCATAGTATGAAGCCAGAATAGCAGCAGTACAATTATCAAACAATAATGTATTTGGACAAAGTGGCAGCACCTATAAGACCAACAAGGCAAGAGAAAGAAATAATATTTGGCATTGCCATAGATGGCCCGGCTGACAAGAAAATTTTGTGAGCATTGCAGTCTCCTCGAAAACCTCTAACAATCATCGCCTGCAATGCAAAAAAATGAAGGGCTTATGCTATATAGTCCAACAGTAAATGACACATGCTTCCCAAACACGCATGTTTGGTTACGTTTTAAAACAAAGTGAAGTAGTCTCTTGTAAAGACAAATCTTGAGAAGTGGGTTGTACAAGAAAGTAGATGAAAAATAGAAATTATCAACGTTGAGGGAAAATAATGTACCTGAGAAATCTGCTCTGCATGGTTATAGATATTCTTGAAGATCCGACGGATGTATGTGAAGAAAACTGCAAGAAAATAGAACCATGGTTGACAATGGCAGAGATAACACCTCCTTTTTTGAGGATGAGATAATATTCTAAGTCATTCCCAAGTAATCAAGGTTTATCGCATTCTTTATTTTCTCTTTTATGCTGTGTGTGCATATGTGTGTGTGTGTGTGTGCAAACAATTATTATGCATATGTTAGTACAAATCAGATTATGGGAATAGTACTCAATTATTATGCATATGTTAGTACAAATCAGATTATGGGAATAGTACTCAATTATCTTATAATTCTCATGCAAAAGAATTGCATAGGCCTAAGAAGCGGAGGTTAAATCACAATGAACTCGTAATAATATTTCTATAGAAGCACGTCAGCATTATCACGGATCAGGGAAAAAGCTTCGCAGTAGAATTTGAAGTCATAAAATACCATCGATTGTCTCCATTGTTGTCAACTGTTCCCATTTTATTCGACGAGACACAATCCCCAGAGCCACATTTCGCACCTGCAAACGTGTACAATAGTTTCAGGATTGTCTAAAAAAATTATTTAATTCTACATGAAGCCATCCATCTACAGCTACAAGCATCTAAAGAGCAATTAACCATTAAAAGTGCAATAAATGAATTGACTAATCTCACCTCATCAAACACCAGATTGATGAATCTTAATGAAAGCAAGAGAGTAAAGATGATTTCAGATACTGGAACACCAATATGTGCCAAAGGGTGAATGAACCATTGAAAAGCAAATGCAAGCTGCTCTGGTGTTGTGGTCGTCAAGCAAAGGCTAGCACTTTGAAAGATCTTCAACAAAATAAAGATGCCTAAATATCAGAAATATAGTCCACGAAATAGAAACAAGGCAAAACCATTCAAGTCCAAGCAGAATAGGAGGGGAATGCTAGCAGTATCTCTAATTATCGAAGTCTTTGGTTCATAATTCAAAAAATAAATAAATAAAAAAATTGCACAAAATTCAAAAACTATAATCAGTTATACTTAAATGTATTGGATAAATTTGAGATTCCAAACACTAAATCAAATCGTTTCTTTCCACCGATTGCTATGTCAGGGTCTTTAACAACACACAAACTTAGCTGATTTCTTAGTAGCTATGCCCCCGTTTAGCCCCCATTATTCCCCATTAAATTATAATTCATATTTCTCTCTCTTTTTATCAACCACACATTCTCCAATAAAATAATATTACACGTAAATCTAAAAATAAAAATATTTCCTTTTTTTTAACCACACATTCTCCAAAAAATTACTATTCTTCTCATTTTAATTTGGAATAATGGGGGCCAAACGGGGGCTATATAAATTATAGAAATCACATGTTAGAATATATGATCCGCAGTATCAGAAATGAACCAAAACCTAAAATTTATGTGCCCAACAATCCTGCATTTGCCAATTATCTGGTCAACAATGCTTTTGGATTTATTAAAGATAATATATATTATATAGGTATCAACAACAAAATCTTTCAGCGGACAAGGCCATTAACAGTTAGTACAATTAGCAGATGAGACTGGTGAATTCTAAGATGTGGTTTGAAGGAACAAAGTTAACTTTACACTCCATTGTATGCAAGGAGGTTTCCAATTACAAACTCCAAGGACTTGGTCTAAGATATATGTAAAATAATGTAAGAGCTACGCAACAGTTCTATTTAAACAGAGTAAATAAGTAGAACAGACACAACTTACGGTGAATGTTAAACATGCAGCTGTACTAGCCGCTGATAAACCCTTTCTTGTAAGTTGTAATGGCCCGAACTTCAAAAGTACATATCTATAACCCTCAAAAGATGCTTGAAGACTTGGTAATCCAGTCATTGAAGATGGTGGGGTTCTTGAACATAAGAGGGAAGGTGTGCTATCAGTACCAAGCCCCAGTACTATAAATAAGAATCCACACAACAGCGACACTCTTCCCAGTTGATCCTACAACAATATTGGAGATTCATAAGGCAGTTCCCTGCATAAACACAAGTATTATTACTATAGTTATCCCAAGATGGAGAGATGTGAATGTGTTTATTTAAGAAGTGAAAATAGTTTCCTTTTCCCCCTATGTTACCCCATCTATGAGTGTAGTTCACAGTTAGTCTTACCATCCACACCTCAGAGGGCTGAACCCTTATGGACAATAAGGCAAGATAGATGACTATTCCCAGGCGCACCGCAATGTCTGACCTAGCTGGTAAAATAACTAGAGTAAGGACCCATGCCTGCAGAATAATGGAAGGCAATATAGTTATTAAAGTGAGCATTGTAAAAAATAAATTACTACAAATAAGGATAAAGTACAAAGGAATAAACTAGATCTGTTTGTCATAAATTTTGAGCTTCTAAAACTTCCCAAATAAAGAACATCTTTCATCACACAGATAATTGGAATTAGTATAAATTGCAAATATGAAATTAAAAACAAAATCTCCAAAGACTCGTATGAAGCTTCTCTTCTCGTCGGGAAGATAAAAATTTGCATTTATAGAGAAAGTTTCGTTCTTCTTCACCAATTTTGAAGAAACGTAAAAGAAAACTTTCATTCCATTTGTCTTCAATTTCTTTCTTCCTTGCAACCAGACCAAAATGGTGAATTACATTGTGCTGTGCTTCCACATTCTTCTCACTATGAAATACAGGCAAGTCACTAATTTTATCAATTACATCACATAACACAGTTGCTTTACCAATTTAAATGTGGAAAAAAACAGCAAAACGAATGTGCTTAGGGTCTGTTTGATTGCAAAGGTGGAAAATGGGTGGGAAGAAAATGTTTTACAGGAAATTGATTTGCCTAGAAATTGTTTTACTGGGAATTATAATTAATTGTGTTTGATTGGTATAATTTTTCACCTGAAAAATATAGAAAATTTGGTGTCCGTTTGACTTCGTTTTTCATGAAAATTGTCCATTAAAGTGATATTTTTTTCTACCATTGAGTTTCGAATTTGTTCTACTTGCCAAAAAATAAAAAAATAAAAATTTTTTGTTTTTACAAAAATTACTATACCGAATATCATTCATTTGGCTTTGTTTTGCATGAAAATTGTCAATAAAAGTGATAAATTTTTTTACCATTGTGTTTAGAATTTTTTACCATTGCCAAAAAAAAAAGGAAAAATATTCTCACCAAAACATAAGGAAAACCAATTCACCAATTGCAGGGGAAATAATCGCGTCACATTGCGGCGCAGAAAAAGAATTCCAGGTTGAATGTTGACAATCAAACATGCTTTTACATGGAAAATGGAAAATATTTTCCATTTTCCATGGAAAAGGCATGTTATAAAACAGGCCATTAATAAAATTGCTGGGATAATGGAAAGCCAAAATAATATAAAAGATACATAGGGGTAGAGTATCTTATTGTAAATTTTCTACTAGAGCTTCTTCTTTTGCTTAAATCCAAGAACTCGGTAATTAGTCCATAAAATCAAAATTTGCAAATAAATTTGAAGATTGATGCGTGGAGTTTTTTTCTTACTAAATCCCTATAACTATCAGAAAATAGATGTCTTACTCGAACTTTATTCTGTGAGTAAGATTGAAGGTTGCAGCCATGAACTATTCCTTTCCATTTTCTCAAACAATTATGTACTCATATTGCATCGACTTTCACTCAACACACAATCCTGAAATCCAAAATAATCAACTTTTCCAGCCCAATTACTTATATATACATTTATATAATATGAGCAAGAAAATTGGATTGGAGCCACAGAAAATCAGCCATTAAGCTTCATAAATTGCCTTTTCCCAGTGTAAAAATAATAATAATTATACTAACAAAGGCAGCATCAAATCCAACAATAAGCAAGAGGTCAACCATGAATTAAGAAAATTCATCATTTTGTAAAAAAAATAAAAAACTGACAGATGACAGATGCAAAAGAAAAATACCAGCTTAATTCTGGGATCGACGGAGTGCAAGAAAGTGGTGGGAGAGGATATGTACTGGGCAATGGGGCTGGAGGTTGCCCCAGATATCAATCTAAATACTTTCTCTGCTGCAAAAAGATTTCTGGGTACCCATTTTTCCCACTTTTTTGTGCCCCCAATTGCTTCACTGTTACTATCTGCAGTGCACTTGACATTGATTCTTGGTTTCTTGGAATAGTATAGCTGATAGTTCACGATTTTGGTTGGGGTAAAGGACCTGAATATGCAGAGAGAAGGGGGTGTAAGTGATGGTTTGGGGTGCGTGTAGAGTAGGTTTGGGAACATGGATGACCCTGGAAGGGGAGTGAGGTGGATGAAGGAAGGAAGGAAGGTGAAGAACGAAGGATCTGCTTTTTCTTTCTCAAATTTCACCCTTCCCAAGTTGCCTGAGTCCCCGACTTTTTTCGAGTGGTTGTGCTTGCGTACCCGTCAATAATTTTGTATAAACTACAAATTATGCCCCTGGTAGTCCGTTAAAATTTTAATATATTTTTCTTTTTTTTTTAATCTTATATTTTTTTATAAAATAATATTATACTTAAAAAAAAAAAAAAATTATCCAAATTCTTCCAAAAACTATTATTTCAAAATACATTATTTTTAAAAATCTCATTATAATAGAGCCAAACAAGAACTATATTACAAAATAAATTTTATTTTCAATAAATTTACGTTTCTTGTGTCATTCTTTTCTTCACTTACATTAATAACAACAGTCGAATTCTGTTTTATCTCATGATTCAAGCGTGGGTACGACAAAATTTTGAAGAACGAGAAAATTCATCAAACATGGTATTATTTCAAAGTAATTCATTACAAATACAACCTTAAAAAATCAGAATTTATTTGCAGTAATAAGAACAAACCATTACAACATCCCTTTACAAGATAATCTTAAACGTTTGATAAAATTAATAGTATACACTCTCTCTTGCAGCTACACTGTCAAGACCAACATGGACAGCAGCAGTGCAGAATAACTGAGTTCCACTCACAATTATCAACAGGGTCTCCAACGTCCTCTGTAAAACAATATTATAAGAAACAATTAGTATTGTTATTAATAAAAATTTCCCTTTAGTTAAGAGTTTAAATATTTGGACGATGAAGTTCAACATCACGATTCACGAGGCTCTAGCGAGCAGTAAAACTACCGATCTTGTCAAGTGTCGAGCTCCGTAACATTCGTTATGTTTTATTTTTAAATGAAAGTAAAATATGAAAGAGTTTTCATATGGGGTTGGATAATATCGAGTAAGTTTGACAGGTCTTTAAAAGTGTACTCAATATCGAATTTATATCTATAAATAGCTTAGATTTTTTTTTTTTAGACGAGATGATTGAACACGCTTACCAAGTTTGATTGAGTCCAGCCTATATCGATCTCTTTGCATGCTAACCTGCGGGCATACGCACAATTGTTATGGATTTGCAATTACTTTGTCACAGTTAAGATCTTTAACTGTATATTTGGCACAAACAAGACTGAACATTGACAAATTCTGTCGCACGTATCTCTCCTTAAGCATATCTTGTCCCCTTCAGTCCAATCTACCAAATATACCGTAAGACAAAAGCCCCCGAAATACCAAAATAACCAATAATGATATATAATTTTACCCCATTGCAAGCAGTGTAAGTAACCAAGTAACCAAAGAAGATGCAGCAGCAGCATGTAGATTTGGGGAATCCCATTGAATCACATTACTGATTCCAGAAACTGAGGTGGTGAAGCCCACAACCCCAGCTAAGAGTGACAGAATTACGACATAACCAGTAGCCATATTTCCAAATGGATAGTATATTGGAAAGATTCGAGCTGGGAGAGATAGAACAGATGCTGCAAGAAATTTTGGCAAATGAATGATGTAAGAAAACTTGAAATCTTGTTTGTGATGTCGAACAACATTCTCGAATGGTGTTATTGATAAAAACTATAAAGTGCCGGAAGTGTGAAGCCTATTTATATTGTTCATTTATCCTCTTGACTTTGAAAAGAGATTTTTTGGGTGTTCATATCTTTGTATTAGATCGTCTTATTTTTTTTTTATTATAGTGAAAAATTTTGCAACAAGTGGTCGTGGTTCTCATACTGAAGTGAACCACTATAAATCTTTGTGTTCTACATGTGCGGTTGTGTTTTTTCTTTTTTGTTTCATGCTTATTGATCTCTAATATAGATTATGGCTTAAACTCATACCTGTTTCATGCGTTTGTTCGATTCCATGATTTACAGCCCACGCTGCAATGGCGACGATGATGAAATAGAGAATGACATTGAGTATTAAAAGAGCGAATGCTGCTGATTTCCCTGCTCCATAAGCCATGGCCTGCCAATTCTAGCTTTGCAGAAAACTTTATTTTATTTATGCCCTTCCTCAATTCAAGAAAGATATATATACAAGAAAAATGGTTCCATTCTTTAGCCAGAAAACTTAGTTTTCTTCAAGAATTATTCTCTTACTTTTGATTAAAAAAATTAGTGTCTTCAGTTCAAAGAAATGACTGAAATTCCTTGGTTTTGTTCTGAGTTTAGCCTCATAAAGAGGAGAAGAATATTTCCTGCCTTTGGAATTGAACAGTTTGTAGATGTAGTAAATGGCCTTTTAATTTGTGTACACTAAGAATAAACTTTAGCTTATTATAAAACGAAAACAAAAAGTTAAGTTCTATTCTCGTTAAATTTGGAAGCATTTGTAAAATTACGTTTTGTCATTCTCTTTGATTTATTCTTAGATAAAATGGATGAGTAATTAGATCTTTAGACTTTAACAACCACAATTTGTCGTGTTATCTTTGGTCTACCCTTCACCTTGTTGATGAAATTTGTATATGAACTAACTTATTTATTAAAATTGACTTTTAACACACAACACTTCCTTACTTGAAGTCGAATTTATTTTTTATATAATGCTCGATTTCATATGAATGGCTGCAAAATTTGAATTCAAGTATTTTGCTTGCTCTAATATTATATCGAATTGTCTAGTAGAGAGGCAGGATGGGGGCAGGGATAGCTCTCCCACCCTTCCCCACTAGGGATTTCTGGGAGTCGAGGCCATTTACTACCCTTTTACTTGTTCATTTAATTAAAAATTATTATTTTTATTTCTTTATATACTATCTAAATTATAAAACATAAAAGCAATAAAATAAAATGAGAAATAGTGGCCCGACGGGAACGATGTTCCCCATCATGGTTCCCACCTTGCTCCGAAAGGTGAGGACAAATAATTGTCATCCCTACAGTCATCTAAAATTTAAGCTGTCAAATAAGAACGCATTATTTATTTATATTTAGTTTTCAACATATCTCGCATGCATGTCAAATTCATTTTCCTCAAAAGCACGATAAGTGCAAAAATTTTAGGACAGTACGACTTCAAAACAAGAGCTTTACCTACTCTAATTCCACATCGAACAACTTGATCTAAACTTAAGTTGTTAAACAGAACACATTTTTAATTTAAGAAGAATTTATTGAAGTAAACTTGCAACAATAGATAAATAGAAGTCTTCAGAGCAATGCAATGCAAATGGCAAACCAAAATAGCATGAAACTTGTCCAAGATTTTCATGAATGCTAAAAATTCATACTAATCTGAAGTTCAAGGGGCCATCTTTCAAGCTCAAGGGTGGCCATTGCTGATTTTAGGTCTCATATTTACAAATGATTTCTCAGAAGGGTCGATAAAAAGGGAAAGAGATTCTGTGCCTGTGAACTCAACAGCACCGTGTAATTCCCTTCAAGCACAGGTACCTTAACATCAATGGTTTACACCTTCAATGACAGCTTCTGCGCGGCAAGGGCTTCAGCTTCTAGTGTTGGTTCCCATAATAAAGTAGTTTCGGCAAGTAAGGAAGTCACGACGTAGGGATCCATGTTTGAAGCTGGACGCCTATCTTCCAGGTAACCTAGCATGAAAGATAATGACCACGATAAGCAAGGATAGTTGCCCACAGAACTCGTGAAGAAATTATTTAAATAAATAAATTTAACATCTCTCTAACCAATTTTTAAGGCAAGGTGATTCTACCAGAGCATACAAAGATCCTGGTTTGAGTCTATTGTTGCCCATTTACGAAGATTGTGCACATATCATGAGTTCAATAAAAAAAATCCCTTCTCTAAGAGCTTAAGCTTTAGACGAGGTGGTTCAACAAGAACTTTGGTCTTTTTCACAACTCACAATTAATGGGAGTGAAGAACATCTCATCAGTGGTACGATAGTTGGATCTAAGAACAGTGAAAGTTTAATTTTCTTGATTTTACTTGTAAATAAATCTACTCCTCTTTGTCAAAATTAATGCATCACTGAGTTTTGTATGATTTTTTATTCTAATGGTGTGCATGTAGGAGCTCGATGAACACATTAGTACACACCACATTTCATATGGAGAATTGGACTGGGCGTAAGATTTTAACTTCTTTTTCCATTTTCATAGTCATTGTTGTCCCGTCCTGTCCTGTCGAGTCCAACCCACCAAAAGAAGCCATAGACTACTCTATTATTAAAGAAATGAGGAAATGGGCGACAATGTGGCACCAGATATCTGAAGGTATGGACAGACAGAGCAATTAAGAGTATTTTTAATACCTTTGCCCTCCTTCTCAGTGTCACGACCCACACGGATTGAGCAACCACGATTAGCAACTCCCTGCAAGTTTGGCAAAGAAATACAAGTAGGAAGCCAGAAAACTAGTTTTTATCTTCCTAAAGATGCTCAACTCAGAACTAGTTAGCATACCCATGAAAATGTGTTGATACTAGCAGTTTCGTGCTTTCCTGTCAACCGTCTCTCATTTCCTTCTCCATAAGCACTGATATGCTCTTTGTGGCGAAGTGAGAGATTCAAAATTGCTTTCTTTATCACTTCAAATCCTCCTTCTTCTCTCATACTCTTTGTGCTGCGAATTCAAGTAATTATACAAAAATTATTACATCCTGGTGCAAATTGCAAGCATATCTTGGAGTTGTGGTAAACTTGTATACTAGAAAATATTAGGCATATTCTTGACCCAATATCAACAAAATAATTGAATACCTGTAATTGGTGTGGCATCCAGCGCCATTCCAGTCACCCTGGAATTTCCAGTATACTAGTAGATTAGACTTTTCCATATTTACACACCAAGAAAAATAAATTTATCAGAATGAAGTCGACATTACCTCTATTGGTTTTGGATCAAGTGAGAGAACAACTCCAGCTTGTTCAGTAATTCTCTGATTAAGATATTTAAATAACAAAAACATCAGATATGTGCTCATGTAGATCCTGTGTCAACTCAGATCTCATGTTAATTCAATCAAGGGAAAAAAAATGCTACAGCTCAATCATGCACTTATGGCATGTTTGGTAACGTGGGCTGAACAGTACAAGACAATATTAAGTTGAAAATAAATAGTTACATCGTCGATCCTATATTGTATTGCATACCGTACATGCCCTTATAGTTTTATGATAATAATGACCTACATTTTGTTCATGTCAATATATAAGTAGAAGGAAGCCTCTAGGTATTTCAAGTTACTCGAATAAAATAGTGGAACAGAGAGGCTGTATAGGGTTCTCCTCTTAGAAACAAGAATTTTAACTTGTACTTTATAAACTTACAAAAAATTACCTCGAGGAGGTACCTAGCACACCAGATGTGATCTCCAGCTTCAATTCCAACACTAGGACCAACTTGAAATTCCCACTACAGAAAACATCAAACAGGTCATCAATGGTTTATTAGAGGATTGCAATAGATGTTCATGTTCATTCAAGAAAGAAGAAGAGTCAAAGAAAGAGACCTGTCCGGGCATAACTTCTCCATTGGTGCCACTAATATTAATTCCAGCATATAAGCAAGCTTTGTAGTGGGCATCGGATATGTCACGACCAAATGACTTATCCGCCCCAGCCCCACAGTAGTAAGGCCCCTAAAAATTCCCCAAACAAGTGAAATAGTCAAATAATTAGTCATTTGTCATTATAACTTGTAAAACGTATGTCCATTTAGTAGATTTAAGCAACATTTTATTTATCTATAAGCATAATATCTTCCTTCCAAAATCAGAAGAAATGGATGTAAGCAACAAAATTCTAAATTGAATATTAACATTTGCCAAACCGCATAAACCGTTATTACCTGAGGACCAGGGTAGCCTCCAACAGGCCAACCTAGTGGCCATTTCACATTTGTTTGGAGCAAGGTGTACTCTTGCTCAATACCATACCTTATTCAAGTTGAAAATAAAAATATTAGAAAAAATATCCAGCTTCTTTTTTAAGCTTTCGAGTCTGTTTTGAGATGTGGAGGGAAAAGTTTGTACGACAGAAAAACAATTGAAATAAATTCACAAGGACAGATTACCATGGGACTTCAGCAACAACCTTTGGGTCGCGAAAAATCTGAGCAGCTTTGTGGCGCTTGTTGGTTGGAATTGGCTCACCTTGTGGTGTATATGTATCACACACGACCTGTTTCATGACGCATATTTATTACAATTGAGAAGCATGCTTTGAGTTCATGTAAGAGCACATTTCAGTGAAATTCAATAGTACCGAAGCAAAATGAAACACCAACGGTCAATTGGATACACTTACCAAGATGTTATTACCACCACGGAATGGATCTTTGAAGATTGCTTGGGGGCTGAAGAGAAAATTCAAAATATTTAGGTCAAAAGGAGAAGTAATTTATAAACATGGATGACATCATGAGTCCATGATCTTACTATAGGATAACTTCACTGTCTTCTCCAGGTGCCTGTCCTGTACTCGATCCGTCGTAGTTCCATTTCGGAAGCTCAGAAGGGTGTTTGACTGGCTTTGAGATAGTCTGGAAATTAGAATAAGAAAATATTATATGAGAACAGATGTGTTATTGTTACCAACACATTGCAGATAACAGAAACAAATCATCAGTGTGTACCCTTGATTTACTACGCACGTCAATTCCAGATCCTCCAATCCTGTCATGGAAACAGTAAAACAATGGTTAGGATGCACAAGCAAGACCAGTAAAGAATTTCAGTTAGCCATCAACAAAATAGCTATTGGTGGAATATTTAACTTTTCAGTAAATTGTTTATTTGCTTACCTTACAATACGTATATACAAACAAGAAAAGATGTCGAATATATTGAATTTAATGTTCAATATGGAACTTTTGAAAAGAATACATACCAAATATATTCAGCAATGATCTTATCAGAATATGGAGTTACATCCAAATTTAGCAGCTGTTCTACACGGTTGATAGTGCCATTTTCAGACTGGAGTGCACACACTTTAAATCTTCCCGAGCTTTTAACAGCATCTTTCTTGTTTTGTTTCATAACAAGAGAGCTCCATGTCTTTTTCGTCAATGGGTGTGCATCTGTATAGTTCTTTGCAATTCGCATCCGCCATTGTGCAGAAGGAGCCAAGATCTGTGCCATTTTCACCCTCCCTTCTGAAAAGTTGAAAATAGTGTGAATAAGAACTTCCATTTCATGAAGTAAATATTATAATGCTACACAAAGATGGAGTCAATTGCGTCCCAAAGTAATATCATAACGTAGGATTGTGTTTACAACATTGGACACGAGGAAGAATTATTTGGTTGATCCTGTCTAATGTAACTTTGAGTTTAAAGAAGATACGATATTTATAAAAAGAAAATCATCCAAAGAAAGAGAGATGAAGGAGCAAGCAATATCAATCAATCAACCGTGGTGACAAGTCTGATGAGCTATTCGATATCTCGTCTTGATCCCCTTATGCTGATCTTTTATTTACTTTAATTGGTTAGAATGTAGTGTCTCTCATCATGCACATAATCTGTATGATGCCTTCCTCCAGCTACCACAAGACACTAAAGCTCAATTATTTTGTCAAATTAGGTTGATTTATTACCTTTCATTGTCATTGCACATTATTCTTAATCTGTATCTAAAAGTAGTCAAGATTCCATACTTGAAAGTGTGAAGATTTCATTGTGATTAAAAATTACAATTTGCAACAAATGGAATTGACCAAAATATCGTTTTAGATGTTAAGAAGTCAATTTGTGAAGTACATAGAATTTATTTTTTGTCAATTCACACTATACACTAGGAAGTGATGATTCACGTAGGGGTATAAAATGGGGCGGGTCGTCCTCTTTCCAGAGGTCCTGAGGCCTCCATCCCGGCCCCTAAAAAGGCCCACGTGCACTGGCCTCTCCGAATGAGCAGGCCCATGCGCTACACAATCCACCTTTACACCTCTTAAAACCAAATAAGCAAACAGTTAGCGTGCAAAAATCTATTCACGCACTGAATGGCCAATGAGTCCTTAATCAAACTATTCTCACTCAGCCAGCAAGTTCCAGTGGAGAAATCAAAGCCCTGACAGTGAAAAGACCATCCAAATGGGTTGAATTCATACAGGTGCACAGCAAAATATAAAGGTCAAAAGATACGAAAATTACAGCAATAAGTAATACATTGATATACTAAGTACACATTTTGTAACTTAAAATAAATTTGGCTCGGATTTCAAACATAACGAAAAAATACAGGATTTTTCTCAAGCTCCTTGAAAACACCAAAATCGCTAAAGAAAGCACCCTTTTTTTTCCCCACTTCATTGAAATCAAAAGGCACAAAATGGATGAAAAAGAAGTATGCACCTGATAACTGCAGGATGATGTCTTGAAGAACAACTGCAAAAACTGTATTGAACTAGATGGAGAGGGAATGAGAGAGAAGGGCAAGTGGATACAATGTTCTTATAAAGAAATCCAAACGGTCTAATGGGAAGTTATATTGTCCTTTCCTTAGCAGATAGGGGTGCGTGTTTGAGTGGAGGAAAATAGATTTCGGGCTCTTTGAGGTCACCAACAAAAGCTGCCATTATAAAACAATTCAAGATAAGGGATTCTCTGCATTTTTTTTATTTTTTTTTTGAAAAAGGGTTTCTCTGCATTGGTAGAAATATACAGACAAGAAGAAGTTTAATTAAATTATTAAGGAATCTACATTGTTATTACAGTGCTAATTCAAACTACGTTTGCATCTGTATGTTATTATTTTTTTAATATGGTCAAACTTAAAACTTGCAAATCAATCCCATCCCCACTCACCCCACCCACCCCTCCCCTTTTCTTGTCTGTATAAAAAATATACAGACAAGAAGAGGTTGAATTAAATTATTAAGGAATCTACGTTGTCATTACAATGCTCAACTTAAATTAAAACTTGCAAATCAATCCCGTCCCCACCTCCACCCCAATCCCTTTTCTTAATCTTGAATTCTCTTTTCTATTAAAATCAGAATAATTCTCCTTATACAACACTTGGTTATAATATTGGATAACGACATCTCACAATGGGGTAGGGCCCACGTCCTTGTGAGAGGTCGTCATCAAATGTTGTACATGTAGCATTTCTCATTAAAATCAATCAATGCCTGATGGCAATTATGAGAGAATTTGGTGGAAATAGTGTTTTGCATAATGAGTTTTTGAGAATGTGTGGTTAAATGTAGGGGAAATTTTTAAAATTACGTGTAAAATATTTTATTGTGTGAATATATGGTTAAAAATAAGTACGAGAAATAAATAATTTTAATGTAAAAAGAGTCAAATGGGAGCGTATTGTGAGTAGTTTCAATGACCTAAAAATTGGTATCTCGGTAAAATAAAAGGTTAAATTTTTAAAGGGTAAAATCAGCGGTGAAAAATACTTTACAAGAATGGGATGAGCAGTCTAACTTTCGGTTTGTTTGGGAAGTTTGCAATTTTCGGGTTTTCACTGGCTAAATCATGATCTGTTACTAATTTTTTTAGTTGAAATGATCTCTTCCATCTTGTTTTCAATAATATTGATATTTAATAAATATTCAGACAAAGAGGAAACTAGTTTATTGCCCCGTGCAATGCACGAGGCGCGTTATTTTCATAGTAGTGTTAGCGTTAGCGTTTCGATTGTGTAGAATTCTCGTACATAATGTTTTCTATTAAATGCTTTCTATTGCTTAATTGGATTATTGCCCCGTGCAATGCACGAGACGCGTTATTTTCAAAGTAGTGTTAGCGTTAGCGTTTCGATTGTGTAGAATTCTCGTACATAATGTTTTCAATTAAATGCTTTCTATTGCTAAATTGGAACGGACTTTTTCGTATTTAACCCCTGTTTGCCCCCCATTTTTTAGGGTTAAAAATTTTTAGAATAGTGATTGATGTGAGAATGTGTGATTGAAAAATTTTAAATTTGTGTGTAATATTATTTTATTTGATGAATGTGTGGTTGAAATGAAGAGAAAAAAAAATTAATGTGATAAAATTTAATTTAATGGGGCTCAAACAGGGGCTTAACATGTAATAGAACGTCAAAAAATTCAAATAAAAAAGATGGTAAATATTCTTAAAGAAATTGACATTTGTTATTGTATTAATCTAATACAAATGTTACAAGAAAGACAAAGGTGTACTTCGTCTTCAAGGAATACTTATTGTTGTCGTTTGTATAATACTACTTGTACATAATTAATTGACATAATAATTTGAATTATTCTACTTACCTGGCACAGCAGCTCGGTCCTAATAATTTATATAGAGATGAGGCGTCAAAAAGATAAAGAGTTTTTTTTTTTTTTTGGGGTTCACTCAACAGGATGTAGCAAATCACCATTTGCAATCCCCCCAAAGTGAAATGACTCTTTCACTTCCAGTTAAAGCAAAGAAATATAAATGTAAACCACAAAATTTGTCATAAGATCATAATAAAATTGCAAGGTAGAAATGACTCATATATTGGACTCCAACTGCGTCTTTGACAATTTTATATGTTTCTTAATACCAAAGCCAAATCAGACTGAGTGACCCAAATAACGCAATAGGCCATTCAAATCCTAGCCCAAACCACCATCTTTCGCCTACTCGCAAAACATGACGTTGACCCACAACAGCCAACATAAATGTAAGCTCCACTACCTTCGACCCGTTGATTCCACTTCCATCCTAACTCTAAATCACTACGATCTCCTTTCTTCGGTGCTCTATGCTCTCCACCCTCCACAACACCACCACCTTTATCCTCAAATAGCCGGGGACACCAGCTGCACCTACCTCTCATTTTGAGCATATAAATTTATCTCCATTTCCAGCTTTCAACTGCAGTTTGATAATTAAAGATTAATTGAAGTCTTTTCACCCACCTCAACAAAATTAAATTATAATAGAACTGATTTGTAAATACATCCATCAAGAATAATATTTCTTCAAAAATGTACCTTTGGAGTTGGCAAAACACGACCATCGACCTGACTAAGGTTCTTAGTTTTATCAGTAAACAGTCTATAGCATCTATAAGAAGCACATTAAAATAGAGTATTTACAAGATTATTGATCATAAAGCAATTAGTATAAGAAATATTTATGAGGAGACAACCTTTGTGAGCTGTGGCCAATGATGCACCTCCTAATAAGAATAAGTTGACAATTGAACAATTGAAAGATGCTTGTCATAAATCCTATTTGCTTTTGCAATTTTGGATTATCATGTGTCAAAGATTGTAAAGATTAGAAGAAAAGTCAAAATTACATAAGCAATTGAAGGAGAAGCATTATTTATTTTTATATGTAGACTCATGCTTTGATTGGCAACCTTATGAAATTTATAAACATAGCACAAAATAAAAGGAAAATGAGAGGGCTACTGAATGAACTAAGTGAACCTCAAGAGAAGGATTTTAACTGTCAAGTTCAATTAAATAACTAACTAAATTTGGAAAAAAATTAGTTCAAGAAACACAGAACAAAGAAAAAGCATCTAAATAAAAGTAGAAGAGTTACCTCATAAATCAGAACATGGAATTCCCAAAACTAAAGAACTACTTAAGCTATTTATGAAATGCCCCAAATTTAAGCAAAGAAAATGTTGATTAAACTCAGAAAGTAGAATTAAAAAAAAAAGGAAATGAAAAACCCAAAATAGAAATTTACCCAATTCTTGCAATTAAAATCTTCAAAACTAAAGAAAATAAATATTTAAAAACACCCAATAAAAGAAAGAGAAAATTACCATAAACAAGGTGTTTACTTTTGACTTTTAAAAAATCAGGTTTTTAGTTTATTTAATCAAAAATCAGGTTTTAATTTTACAATTAATATTAATAATAATATTTTTAAATTAAATTAAATATATACCCACCCTACTACCTACCCCACCAACTTTATAAATATAAAACCCTAACCAAACCTAATTCATTCTATTTCATCTCTT